CTAGACAATATATGTTAGCATTGTTTTTGTCTATATAAGCTTTTTAGCTCCTTTAGGAAAAGGCACATGATATGATGGGCCATGTGCCATGTCATAAAACATTTTTTATTCTTATTTAATAAAAATATAGAAATTTTAAATTTATTTGTTAAGTCAAATATTTAATAATAAATGTATTAAATATTTTATTTAAAAAATTATTAGCCAAACCGATTTTTGAAAACCGACACCGGTTCGCCAGTTAACCGGTTGAACCGCCGGTTCAATCCGGTTTGTGGCTAAAGCGGTTTTTACAAGATTCCGGACCGGTTCACGGTTCAACCGGTTGAACCGGCCGGTCCGGTCCGGTTTTCAAAGCACTGGGATATACTGAGCATGTGATATACATGATATACTGAGCATGTGATTAAGATACAGATTTGATACTGATGTAGAATAATCAAATAGTATATGTACACTCCTATATGATTTTATTATATTAATATGATTTGGATAGTCTTTACCGATGATTTAGTTTACCACTTTACATGATCGTTTTATAGATTTGATACTCATACTAATTTATTGACTTTCACATCATATTATTTTACTAGTTATAGATTTTACTGCTCCAGCATTCAGCTTTACTATTTCTGCATTGATTTAATGATTATATGAATGCTACTGCTAAGATTTGATCTTTGATATGCATATTGTTCATTTACCTTATGTTGAGTTCAGTTGTATGTTTTAGTGACCTACTAAGATTTTTAGCTCATTACATGTGGCTAAATATTTTCATGTCATGTAAGAGGATCAAGTGTGCGAGATTGATCAGAGCAAAATTCCTCAAGTTATGTTTCTTTTTGTTTTAGTTATTATTTTGTACTTAGGATAGAGTAGTAGTTGTATGATTGTATAGATCCTGAATAGTGTATATAATTTTTGGGAAATGAATACAGATGTATATATTGATCTTTTGATCAATAATTTTATTTATGTTTCTATTGATATTGATAGAATAAATTAGATAGCTCTGATTGTGTGAATTAAAAGATAAAAATTTAATTCTTTCAAATTAAATTATGGGGCATCACATCGCCAGTTTCCAATCTTCTTCCTCCCTCTCCCAGCTTCCAACCAGCCGACAACCACCAGTTCTTCCTCCACCTCTTCCGCCAGCCTGCAATCTTGCCTCTAGAAGTCTTTCTTCCAGTCAGCCAACTGCCCAGCACTTCTTCTCCCTACCACTCTCCTTCAGCTTTAAGTCTTGTTGTTAGGAGATCTTCTTTCCAACCAATCAACACCCTTACAACCAGTAAACAGTACAAAATCCCTAGCAAGAAGGGTATGTAGTTACTGCTCTTCTCACCAGCAATCAAGAAAGCTGTTGTCAACCAATTCTAGCCACCAAGAACTACAAAATTCCTAGTTCTTAGCCCAGAATTTAGCAACCAGATTCATCTCGGCAATACATTCAGCCCCAAGACAACTGTCTTGATTGGTTCTAGATTTCTTGTTTTATTCTTTTGTTTTTTAACACTTCTTGATTGTCTAGTAGACTTGTCAGCATTCAATTCTAGATTACATTTTCTTCTCTTCCTGATTTTTGCATATATTAATGGTGTCACTAACATTTCCAAATTCTTGGTAATTTTGAGTCTTGTAAAGGTAACTTTACCTTTCTTCTTCTAGGAGGTTTCTTGAGCAATTTTTTCTTCGTCTTGCCCTGTTTCTGCACAGGAAAAAAAAAAGTAAATAACAAAGTTCATAAATGATTGAATGATGAATCAACATAACATCCAAGCAAATCATGTTATTCCCAAATGAGAACTGCAGTAATTTTGTTAACGATGGAACTCTTTTGACACCTGTCTTATTGTTTCCTTAGATGACTTGAATGGCAAACAGTGAACCTTTCCATTGAAGAAGTTGGACCCATCCGGAAACTTCCCATTGCAGGAATTAGTTGCACGCCATACAGTCATTAAAGCTTTTCCCATGCCATACTTCTTTTCTGGAACTTTCGTAGGTTGGATCCCTACGCTATCAGCAGCAGAAGACTTCAAGACCTGCAAATGGATTATTCATTGGAAACTAGTCAATAAGAAAAGGTAGGGAAAAAATATTGGAGGACTCCACATCCAAATCAAAATTAATTTTACTGTTGATATACATTAGCTAAACTTCATCAGGACATGGAAATATCAACAAGTCCCTGGTATTAATAGAATGCTATATCAATATTAGGTCCCCTATGAGTAAGATGGAAATAATTTAGAAAGAACTACAAGCACATACAGCTCAGCACAAATAACAGCAGCAATATTGTATTTCCCCAAGAGATCCACTCTAGAGTGCTATAGAAGAGAATTCACTAACTATTCCAAAAAGAGATAATCTACAAGACTCGATTTTAACTGTTAGGAAGATTTAGAAATAACTGGCAATTTGTCCAATCTTGGGACAAGTGCCAGTGTTCTTCTGAAATTTGAGTGAAAATGGATAATACAAGTGCAAGTTGTATCATTATGCATTTAACAAACGATCTAAAAAAAAGATTCACATTTTCAATTACCTTTCTCCTTTTGAAGATTCTCTGGTCGTCTTGACAACAATGACAGTTTTCAAAATCTGATAATAAACAACTGAATTAGGTAAAGATCGTTATCAACTAAAAAGAATATATTGCAGATCAAACATAATTAAAAAAGCATCAAATATATTGAAACAATTATTACTCAGGATCAATAGTTTAAAAATATAGTTGAACAAGTGAATATTACAAAAGCATAAATGGCATTTTGCTGGTATAATTACAAACTTTCACATTTAGTGGTATATCACCCTATTCTTCATAATAACTAGCAAGCCACCCTACTCTTTTAACACCTAAACCTAATATATTACTTTAATAAGATGGTGTTAACCTCAAAGATTATTACATTAGCATAAAATAATATTCCCTCTGATGCTTATCAGAATCAAAAAATTTATGGAAGAATCATATGTATTTATCATTTTACATTAAATCCAAAGATAAATAACATTAAAAGATGAAATTGGAACAATTCTTCATCTTGATTTATAACAAGCATTAATTAAAAATATGTCTGATTTTTAAAATGCTACGAAATAATTAAATGTGATTACTTCTAAATAGAAACAAAATTAATATGTTATAAATATATTTAAATATTTTGATTTCCTACAAATAAATTCTGATGTTAAGTAAATCCTATAAAACAGGATTTATAACTAAGCACAATAAAGGTTGGAATTAATTCGTTAGGATTTATTTTTAGTAAATCAAAAAGCTTAAATATCTATTAATTTTGATCATGTTCAAAAGCAATCCTACTTAAATAACATTTATAGTGAAACAATTAAAATATTTTTAAACATTATTTGCTATAATTTAGCAAGAGAATTGACCTAATTCTATAAACCAAGTCTGATTCAGCATTTAATGTACAGAAAGATGAGAAATTCATATGATTTTCACAGAAATTAATTATTTTTTAAAATTATTAGATTGAATATTATTTTAGGTTACTATAATATTATCTTAGATTAATACCATCCAACTGGGGTGGAATTAAGTCTGATTTATTATTTAATGTACAGAAAAAGGAGAAATTCATATGAATTTCACAGAAATTAATTATTTTTTTAAAATTATTAGATTTAACATTATTTTAGGTTACTATAATATTCTCTTAGATTAATACCATCCAACTGGGGTGGTATTCAGTAATCGATAAGAGAATAGGATTGTCTACCAGTAATTATAAAGAATAGCATGGTACACCAATAAATGTAAAAGCTAGAGATGATATACCAGTAAAAATCCCAATTATAAAATATAAAATTTTCAAAATCAAAATCTTGAAGAGATTGTGTGTAACAGCAGTTCTGTAAGTATGCTTATAGGAGATCAACTGGCACAATATACACCAATATCATCAACAATAATGATATTGTATTGGAAAAGGAACACAAACTAAAATTCAAATTTAATACTATGCAAGTGGATTTTTAATGAATAATGCAGGCTCGGTTCCAGTAAAAATCCTATAAATTTTATATGTTATGCAAGAAACTGCTTATTAAATTACTTAAGTTCCTCTATAGTAAAAAACTAAAAATGTGAAATGCTAACTCAAAACATCCATCATAAGAACAGAAATCTCACTCTCCCTCTATTCCTATATGAATCCCCTAACTTGCTCACTCTCTCTCTACTTTCATGCCACTGAATCTATCAGCTCGCTCATTCAGTCCTGAGTCATCAAAATTATAATCCCTCTACTCATTCCCCTCACTCCTTCCGGTACTCCCCACCCCCACCTCAAATCTATCTAAGTTAAATTCCTCTGTCTAGTTTCTCCATCCTCAATTGTTAACATAGTGAAATAAACAATAACATGTCTTAATATCAACCTATCTATATTAAAATCCTTCTTTCTAATCTAACATCAAAATGGAAATCCTTCGCTCCCTCTCTCCCAAACTTGGTAGGGTGCAAACTAGCGACACACAGATGCATTATCTCTAGTTTCATCAATCCAGAACCATTTTCGTTGTTCCATTTCAACAACAAAAACATTTGCGCAGGTCAATTAACAACAAGAAGCAAGAAATACCAGTAAGAACACCAATAGCATTTTCCGGAGGAGGGTCAAACTCCAATCCCAGCGGTGGACCATCCTTGCGAAAAACTTTACTAAGAATGTACTCCTTCGACAGAAAAGACTGGACCCGAAGTATCCGCTTCTTTTCTCCACAATCCGCGCCATTGCAACAGTTCTTCTTGTGCCTCCAACTTGAAGTCCGAGATTCCGTTCCAACACGGCTAAAAGAGCCTCTCTTGTACTTTTTAGCCCTCGGCATCAGCTGCTCATCTTTTTCCCCGCCACGTAGCTTCACAACCAATTTCTTGCCTTATTTGAAGACGCCGCAGTACCTATCAAACCCACCCTGCACCAAATACTTGCCTTTTACAATAAAAAAATAACGAAAAACAGAATAAAGCATGCCCAAGGCAATCTTCACTTCGCTCAGACTCAAAGAGCCATTCCATTCCCAGTTTAAAAACGAGGACGAAATGGATAACAGCCAAAAATTCGTAAAAATAATCCAAACGCTGGAAAACGAGCAAATTAGCCCATTTTCTTAGAGAAGCACTATGACTACCAGAAATCTCAGTGCGTTCAACGCCAGAGTAAATTTGTTCCGGCGACTGCCACTGGGCTAGAGCCGCCTCATCCTCATCCTCTTCCTCCCAATCGAACTAGCTCCATCATCGCCGAAGATTATGGCTTCTACGACCCTGTAAGTGGAGCTGCAAAAGTGGTAAGCTCAGCCAAAACTATGGCGAACGGAGAGGAGCACGACACAGAAGCACAGATATTTTCTCCCTACGGCCCACTAATGGTTTGGCGATAAATTTCTCCCCAAGGGTTTAGGGTTTTGTTTAGAATCACTTTAGATGATGAGAAAACCGGTTTAATTTCGGTCGGTGTACGACTGCGGACCGCTAAGAAACGGTTTTGAACAAGCCGAATCAACTCTGTTCAACCCGGTTTGGTCGGAACGCCTCTCTCACACAAATTTAAAGAAATATTTTAATTAAAAAAATTTATGTATTATTTATTGTTGGATTCAAATCGAACTCATTGGAGATATTTAAAATCCACAAATTCAAAAGGATTAATAAAGATAATTGACACATAATCTTTATTAGCAAAATAATATAATGCAGGGGAGGAGAGAAATTTGAGAAATAAGTAGAATGGGAAGAATAAAAGGCGAAAAAATTTCAATCGGGAAAATTTGGCATTACATTGTCTTTTTTCTTTGAAAAATTATTACATCCGGTTCGGATACTTCCGGAGGTCAATTCGGACGCTTTACGCCACCCAGTGCACAGTGCATTGGGTGACGTGTGCGTCCTCATTGGCCTCCAGACGCGTTTGTACACCGCACAGAATAATCTCTTTCTTTGAAAAATTCTTATGTGGAGAGGCCAATCCAGAGTGACATTGCGAGTACGAATTGACCACCGGACGCGTTTGAACACCGCACAGAATAATCTTTCTTTTTCTTTGAAAATAATTTTAGCTATATACTTGATGGTATCAAAACTTTATTTTGAATCAATCAAATGCTTTTATTTTGAGTGCTTGAGATTGGTCCTTTTTTTTTTCTTTTGAGGCTTTGGAAGAATATTTATGAACTTTGTTATGGTACGATAAATTTGAATCATTTTATAATTAATAGCTAATATTACACTAACTTCTTAAACACCTACTCAGTATAATCGGCATCTCACCTTCTCTTAGCTCATTAGTGCCACAACTTGATTGATAGAGGATGTAAATGCTTATTTATAATTATGATATTCTTTTTTTTTTTTTTTAACCAACCATATATTAATAATCAAAAAAGGCTGCTACAAGTATAACCCCAAAAACAGAAGCTCTCAAAGAAAAATACAATAATAAAATAACAACCAAAGAGCTTCAAACTACCCATTTCGCGATTTAAAATCTAATGATATTCTTAAATCTAAATAATAGAGATTAATCTTTCAAAATATATAGACAATTACAAGCAAGGTTTTAAAAGCTGGACCGGACCAGTTCCCGATTCAACAGGTTGAATTGGGAACCGGTCTAAATGTATGTTCGATCTTATAGCCAATATCATTTTGCAATGGAATAGGGCAAAAAACTGACTGAAGCATCGGTTGAACCGGATAACTGGCGAATCTGCCGAACTAAAAAGAGCTACCATGTTCACAATTCCTCCATTTATGAGCGGTTGATCGCACATCTGATAGTAGAAATCGCATAATCACTATAATTTCAATAAAATTAGAAGTTTTAATCACCCGGTCCATAATTCCCCCATTTCGCATAATACTCTTCTTTCTGAGAAAATCAATTGTATCTCCTTCAAATGTTCATTGATGCTTCTCTTTGTCTATAATTATTGACGTGTAAGCCATGCCAACTAATACTTAACAACCATTTGTGAGTGGATAATTAGTGATTCTTATGTCTTTTATAAACCTCAATGGTTGAACTTTTGAATAACATGGCTATGACTAGGCATTTCTCCATGAATTTTCTTCATTTTTTGTTTAATTTTTCACCCACACAACTCTTTATGCTTATTGGATCTCTTGTTAGAAGCTATTGACCATCTTTGCATAAATGAAAATGATTCATTATAGCATTACTCAGAATATTGAAATCAATATTGTAATGATTTGTTTGGAGAAGAAATGAAAATTGATAGTTATGAATCTTATGATAGCTAACATTATCATGATAATTTTATTATTATTTTAATAAAATTCATATTTATTACGTTATAAGTTCGATCCTGATTAAATCATGGAATCGTGAACCTCTCATTTTTTTTTTCAGTTTGTTGTCCAATATGTTTCTCACAACCTTGATGACAAGTTTTGTTTTTCATTTTGAATGAAATTTAAGAAAGAGGAAAATGAGAAATGGTTGAATATGTTAAGTACGAAATCTGTGTTGGCTATGAATGGGTCATAAAAAAGGATGAATTGTTCTGTGAGAACACCAGATTGGCAAGTTCTCTCTGTCTATGGTATAAGCACAGTGAGCTACAATTTTACTGTAGCAGATGCACTTTTACTGTAGATAGAGAGAAAACTGGACGGTTCTCTCCGTCCGGTGTTCACACAGAATAATCTCGCCATAGAAAGGGGTGAAATGGGTCAATGCGAGCAAGAGAATGGCTAATCCATGTCAATGCTTTTGTCAACATATACATATGACATAATATAGCATATGACAAACAATATAAGGCCAAAATAAACTAAAAATGGTCAAGCAATGAAAGATTTAAAATACATTGTAACAAATCTAGAAAAGCTAAATAAAATGATTTAGCATAAATTATTTTATTTATTGGCAGTTAAATAATACTGTGAAAATTATTTTATTAATTATATTATCAACATAAAATATTTATATTCATGCTTTAAACAATTGGTTTTTTTAATAAATTTAAGCGATCCTATAGTTATAATATGTTCATTAAATTTGTTAATTATGCTTAATTAATTATAGTAATTATATTATAATTTGCATAATTATAGAAAATGAGATTAATTTTGACTTGGCATATATTTTTAAATTATTTATTTTAGGAAATTTATCTGTTTATGTATAGAATAATTAATTCAATGAATTTGCTTAATTATATTAATTACGTACTAATGAAGATTAATTAAGTAATTGCACTATAAATATTATATTTTATCATCATTCATATTCTATTGAATACTCTAATTCATTTACATGTGATGATATTATGTAAAATATAATATAGATTTAGATTTTGTTTGGAACAGCTTTATTACTGCTTTTAAAAATTATTTTTTAATAAAAAATTATTTTAAAACATAAGAAAAAAGATATTACAGAAATAGCCTTAGTTATGATAAGCTTGCAGTTTCCTAATTTTTATCTGACGTTATTTGGATGTTACTCAACAAGCCAAGATCGAATAGCTGTTGAATACTAAGATCACCTCCAACTGTTTGGCAAACAACCGAATGGAGGCACTCAAACGTCGCAACCGAACGCCTTTTCCTCCGCCATTTGATCGCGGATGATCATCTGCGTCATTTTTTGATCTCTACCGAACTTGCGGAAGAAATGCGCAAAAGAATAGAGCAACGGTTAAAGGGCAAAATGACGTTCGATTGGAGATGAATCACGGCACTTTTTGGTTTCACTGCATTCTGGAGTGAAAAATGAAATTTTCGGTTGGAGATGCACTAAGGATTAATGAATGATTAAGTGCTGCGGCACAAAATTAATTTTTTGAGGATTTTTATGAGTATGATTTCCAAAGTGTACTCCATGAAGCTTTATTCTGATTTCTCTCTTTCTCAATCTCTCTAAAATTATTTTACATCATTTACCTTCAATTTAATTTTAAAAATAGTGCCCTTTGTTTTTAACCTTACTCATATTCGATTTATATTTGTTGGATTACCATCGCTTGATTAGTAACCTCGATCATTGTTGAATGACTACAGTCAAAATATGATCCTCAGATGACCACTCGAATAAGATCATAAAAAAATCATTTCTCAAATACAATTTGTTTATCACTGTCACCCTATTACGAGTTTACGACCTTTTGAACTCCACCACTTGACTTCGGTTTTTCAGATGACCGTCATCCTACTATGATCCAACTGACCTCGACCCTCGATTACTATTCTCCGACCACCTTATTTGATTATTGTCCTTCGACCACTATTTTGAACTATAATCTTTATATCTGACTACAGTCCTCCAACCACCAACATCATAATATGATTATTTGACTACTATTACTTAACTATGGCTCTCCAACTATTCTTTGTATAACTCTTTTATTTGTGCGTGCTAATTCTTCATATAATGCTAAAAAAATAAACTCACCGTAGCTAAACCACAATTGGGCTGGCCAAGAGGATTAGGCATCATTTAAGATTGGATTACGCATGGAGACTGAATTTGAGGAGGATCGATGACATATAGGAGAAAACGAAGCTTGCTGTTAACTTAGATTTTATTTGAGATTATTTTTTTTACTGATTTTTAAAACAATTTGTAATAGAAAATTTTATAAAACTAAAAAATTTATACTAAAAAACTGATTTATAAAACAATAAGAAAATTGGGCAGCTTTAAGTTCAAAAATTAAAAAATTTTATTAAAAAATTGCTTTATAAAACAATAAGAAAACTATCCCAAATAAAACCTAAATTGCGAGATTAGCAGCATACAACAAGCCCAAAGTGTGTGAATGAAGGTAAAAATTAAATTTGAACTAGATTTAAACATAATTTGATCGATTCTTATCGAAACTAATTTAAATAAATATTTACATACTATACTAAACATGCACATACATAAGTGAATAATTTAGTCCAAAAGAAAATTGTTTTTAACCTTACTCGTATTCGATTTATATTTGTTGGATTACCGTCGCTTGATTAGTAACCTCGATCATTGTTGAATGACTACAGTCAAAATATGATCCTCAAATGACCCTTACTCGAATACGATCATTAAAAAAAATCGTTGCTCAAATACAATTTGTTTATCACTGTCACCCTATTACGACCTTTTGAACTCCACCACTCGACTTCGTTTTTTCAGATGATCGTCATCCTACTATGATCCAACTGATCTCGACCCTCGATTACTATTCTCCGACCACCTTATTTGATTATTGTCCTTCGACCACTATTTTGGACTATGATCTTTATATCTTGACTACGGTCTTCCAACCACCAACATCATAATATGATTATTTGACTACTATTACTTAACTATGGCTCTCCAACTATTCTTGGCAAAGACTCATTTGCCCCTTACAACTCTTTTTTTTGTGCATGCTAATTCTTCATATAATGGCTAAAAAAATTAAACATAATTTGATCGATTCTTATCGAAACTAATTTAAATAAATATTTACATACTATAATAAACATGCACATACATAAGTGAATAATTTAGTCCAAAGAAAATTTTTAGCATATTTCCTTCAAATAAACAAATCACGAAGCTATAAGGATGCATATAAAATCAACTTTCTCAAAAGGAAAACAGTTTTGAAACATAAATGCCCAAAAACTTCACACAACATTCTTTACAAATAGAACATCAATAGCTGCCTTGATCATGACAAAATTTATAATTATTTAACTTATTTTCAATAAATACGCACATAATTAAATAAATAAATTTCATCTAACACTAGTCATAAATTAATTTTAATAATTATACAAAAATTTTAGTCAGTACATAACAATACAGAAACCTGGCCATATAATCAAAAGCCAAACTCTCCAAAACACCCAAACTATCGTCTGAAAAAAGATCTTAAGCATGCTAAAAAGCAATCTGAATAAAACTGCAACTAAGGCTTCGGTTGGGACGGCTTTTTTGTTGCTTCTTAAAGCAGCTTTCTAGTACAAAAATTTTAATTATTGAACTAGAAAGCTGATTTAAAAAGCAGCAAGAAAGCCGTCCCAAACAAAGCCTAAGGCTTCGTCTGGGACGTTTTTTTTATTGCTTTCTAAAACGGAATTTTAGTTTAAAAATAAAAAAATTTGTACTAAAACTCCGTTTTAGAAAGCAATAAAAAAGCCGTCCCAAACGAAGCCTAAGTCTTCGTTTGAGACAGCTTTCTTCTTGCATTCTAAAACAGTTTTCTAATATAAAAATTTCTTGAATTTGAAAATTTTGTACTAGAAAACCATTTTAAAAAGCAGTACGAAAGCCGTCGCAAACGAAGCCTAATATAGCAAACAAATCAATGCTAAATGAAAGGCAAGATCAATAAACATTTTTTTTTTCTTTTTTAATATAAAATCAGAAGAAAACAAAAACTATCAAAACAGCATCACATAACTGAACACAACATTTTTTTTATAATGAATAAATTTTAATTCAACAAACACTCCCAAAGAAATAAATATGATAGAACAAATGCACAAAAAGTTTAGATGTCATCCATCATTCTAAACAATACAACTTAAAAAAAACTACTCAGTCTATTAAGAGTTCCGAAGGTGTAGACCAAATAGAACAAGGTAAGAGACAACCATGCCTGGAATGCAATCTGGAATGATGTTGTATTCTCATCAGCAGATCTGATGCAAGCCTTAACAATATATATGTATTATAGAAAAGCATCCTTCTCAAGTAGCTTCAGAACCTCATCTTGATTGTTTAACTTGGCTACTTCAATTGGTGTTTTACCATCCAAATTTTGGAGAGTACTGCAGCAACATATCCAAGGTGAACACAAACAATGCAGCGTCATTAAAGAATCAAATAATATATATATATATATATATATATATAGAGAGAGAGAGAGAGAGAGAGAGAGAGAGGTAAAATTGAAATGATAAAAGAGAAAGAAACGGCGAGGGACTTACACTGCGGCGCCATTTTCTAACAGAAGTGCTACGCATTCCTTCCGTCCGTAGCCAGCAGCATAGTGAAGAGCAGTGTTTTTGTTCTTGTCCAATGCATCAACAGCAGCTCCAGCCTCGAGAAGAACTTTGGCACATTCCACCTGAAATAAACCAATAAAATAAGGAATTGGTGTTGTTTCTATGCTTTTTACTCTGAAAAATTCAACAAACAAAAAAATATAGATCAGCTTGTAGCAGCATCATCATCAACTTGTAGCAGCAGCATCATTAGTCTTGTTGCAGGTTAGAATATACACGGCGGTAGAGTTTATGAATTCGCGTCCGAGCGTTGCACGAATATTCAGCACGCAAATAGTAAAGAGAATGAACACCAAGGTTTTTACGTGGAAAACCCAAAAGAGGGAAAAACCACGGGGCCTCGCCCAGTTGTAAAATTCCACTAGTATTTGTTTGAAGTACAAAGACCGATTCGTCTTGCAAGTCAAGACGATCGATTTACAATCAGCTTCTCACAAAGTTACAAAGTTATGCAAATTCCCGGCGTTTCCTGAAAATTTGGCAGAGTTCCGGTGTCTTCAGGCGGTGGGAAGAGCTCCGGTAGTGGTCGAGGAGGAGCTTCTTCCTTCTCTTCTTGATGAGGACATCGAAGATCAACGGCTACGATCGTGTCTATTTATTTTGATGTATTTTATTTGTTATTTGTACTTTTCCATTTATACCCTCACTTGAGGGCTTTGTTTTATGTTTGCCTTTCCCTAGGGGCAATTGTGTCTTTTTATTTTCCTTCATGTATTTGGCTATTTAAGCCCTCCCCTTCCTCTTGGAAAGGGATGATGAATTATTGATAATGAAATTTTATGTTCTTGTTGATCTCTTAGTGAGTTCATGTTGATCTCTTAGTGAGTTCATGAGAGGAGAAGCCCGAGGAGGGTAACTTGCAATACCCGTCAATCTTTAGAAGAGTCCGAGGTTCGCGGTTCTTACGATCTCTTTGTGAGTTCGTTAGTTATCTCTATCTTTCACATATATTCTTGTTCATCTCTTTTCTCCCCTCTTCATCCACCCAAGTCTTCCCCTAGCTCCACCTCCCCAAGCCGACGACTATCACCCACCCGATCGCCGGCCTAACCCAGCCCTCTCCACAGTTTTCTCCCCCCTGCTCCAGCCCGGCACATATAAGTCTTAACCAAACTTTAGAGTTAATAAAATTTTTTTCTTTAACACCTATTGAGAGCCCACACGAGATGTTATCTTTCTTTTGAGCAGGCCTTTTCGTTAATATTATTTTTTAATCATGCTACCTTTGATCTAACATTTTTTTTCATTTCTAAATATTTAGGGCTGTTTGGCAACAAGTAGGATTTAGTCAATTCGGTAAATCAAGATTTAATAAATCGAAGGTATGTTAAATCTTGAAAATTATTTGGTAAGATAGTTGTTAAATCCTGTTAAATTCTATGAAACTGTTTGGCAACATAATCTAGGATTTAAGGTGGCCGATTCATTTAAAAATAAAATTTATGTGTTTGGAATTTAATTTGAGTTTTAAGTACGAGTTACTTATTAATTTCAATTAATTATCATCAATAAGTTATAATCATATATAATATAATTAGAAGCTAGCTTACTTATCAAATAATTTAATTATTAATTTTAGTATTAATTATCAAACTATATTTATAATTAATAATTAGATATTTTTTTAAAATAACTAATTATTTAACTAATACTCCTAATAACTTAATTAATTATCTAAATATTATTATTTATAGTATTTAGTTATTTAAAAAAAAGTAACTAATTATTTAACTAATACTCCTAATAACTTATTTAATTCTCTAAACATTATTATTTATAGTATTTAGTTATTTAAAAAAGTAACTAATTATTTAACTAATACTCCTCCTAATAACATAATTAATTATCTAAACATTATTATTTATAGTATTAATCATCTCATTAATCACTTAATTATTCAATCACTAATTAATAATTTAATTAAAATTTACAATATTAATTACATAATTAATTATTTCTATTTTAAAGTATACTAATTAAACAAATTATATTAATTATAATTATTAATTATACTACTAATTATTTAATTAACTTAAATTAGATTATTTAATTACACTACTAATAAAACTACTAACTACTTAATTAATCTAATCAGATATTAATATTTGTAATCGAGGAATGAGGCCATCTAGGGTTTGCTTTTAATGTTCTCCATTTCTTCTTTTTCCACGTCGCCATTTCTTCATTATTGCTCGGCCTCTCGCATGCTTCACATGAAGTTGTGTGTTGAAAGAGTAGCTAAAGAAGCTCCTTTGCCTCCTTCCATGATGCCAGATCAAAAGTCACGGAGGGAGCTCACTCGCTACGAAGGTAACCATCTTTCTAATGACAAACACGAGAACTACTTCCAAACCAGTTAATCCCGTAGTCCCTAAATCTCATAAATCCGCCGAACTATGTGATTTAGTAAATATGGGATTTACAACCAAAAAACGGTAAATATGGATTTACGCGTGGTGCGGATTTACAACGTCCATTTTTTCCTTTTGCCAGGATTTAGCATAAATCTGACATAAATCCTACTTAAAACTAGCGACCAAACAGCCCCATAGCATTAAATTTATTTACCCATCAAATTGATGCAAATTCATCCATCATTATGCATATTAAAAGCACCTCGTCAATAATTTGATCCTCAATAAGTACAAATTAAGGGAAAGAAGAACAGAAAGTTTCATGTCCTCACAAGTGTCATTTACACAAAGGCAAAAGAAAAATAAATAATTTTCAATATAGAAAATGGTGACGCGCCTAAAAGCTTTTTTTTTCTTACTAGACCACTAGATCTACAAACAAAAGTACTAGTATTCTTGAACATCTTAGACAACGCTTCCAATTTTTTGCAAGATTTACAGGGAGACTCTTAGACATTAACAGAAGTCATTTTGTACGCCATAAAAAATATCTAGTTGCCAACAAACAAAATTCGACAACCATCAGAACAATTTTAAAATAAATAAATAAATAAAAAACATACCTCTCCATAGCCACATGCGAAATGCAAAGCTCTTCTTCCCTCTGAATCCTCTTCATCCTTGTCAGCTCCAGAAGTAAGCGCACTCTTCAGAGCCTGCATGCGTTTGCAAGCAGACGTGAAATTTCAGGCATGAACTGTAAAATACAATATTAGCACCCTACAATTACTACCACCAACAGCAACAACAACAACATCAACCCTTTGTCCCACAACGTGAATCCTTTTTCTCCATTGTGTCTATTAAAAGTCAAATTCTCGTTTAAATCTAATAAAGAATGATCATTTCTAATATTTTCTAATCAAGTCTTTTTAGGTCTATCTCTACCTTTTTTAATATAAGTCAAATCAAATACATCTACTTTCCTAACCGGGTCATCAGAAGGTTGCCGTTTTATGTGACCAAACCATCTAAGGTGGCTCTCTCTAATATTATCTTCCACTGGAGCTACTCCAACCTTTTCACATTTATGCTCATTTCGTATCCTATCTCTAAGAGTAAAGCCACTCATCCACCTAAGCATCCTATTTTCTGCAATACTTAACTTAGTATTATGCTTCTCTTTTAATGGCCAACATTCGACACCATAAAGCAATGCAGGTATCACCACCATCTTATAAAATTTTCCCTTTAGTTTGTGGGGGACTTTTCTATCGCACAACAAGCCTGATGCATTCCTCCACTTCAACCATCCAACTTGAATTCTGCTAATAATATCTCCATCTATTTCACCATCACTATGAACAATAGATCCAAGATATCTAAAATGTGTACTCTTATTAATGACTTGATCGCCCAAAGTCACAATCCCCTCACTAGGTCTATTGCTACTAAATTTACACTCTATATATTCAGTTTTAGATCAACTAAAGTGAAAACCTTTAGAATCTAAGGTTGACTTCCATAATAAAAGTTTACCTTCAACTCCCTATTTAGTCTTATCAACAAGAAGAATATCATCAGCAAAAAGCATACACCAAGGTACATCCTCTGCAAATGTCTAGTGAGAACGTCCATGACTAACACTTATATTCATATCATTAAAGATATGTATGCAAGAGCTATTACTTGTGTTCAAACACAAGGTGTTTTGACCAAGTATTTTCCTATTTCAATTACTACCCAAAAGCTAAAAAAAATCACAAGCAACAAGATAAATCAAACAAAAACAACGTAAATGAAATGCTTATTAATGAAAAAGTCCAAAATAAGGAGATCAGGGCCGAAATGGAACAAGTCAGTTTTTGATTAAACCAAATTTTTATTCATATTCACTGCCTTCAGTACATTTTCATTGATAAATCAAACAAAACAATGAAAATGAAATGCTTATTAATGAAATAAGTCCAAAATAAGGAGATAAGGGCCCAAATGGAACAAGTCAGTTTTTGATTAAACCAAATATTTATTCATTTTAACTGCCTTGCGTACATTTTCATTGAGTGTTGCAAATAGCGTCTGACTTTAATTTAGTCCATTTTAACTACTAATCATGTTACCTTCTCGTTTACTTCTTCATTCCACTATATAGACATCTTAATTATTCCACTAAATATACATCTTAAACACCTTCACTGTAGTCGCACTCAACATGGCAGTAAATGATATCTCCATTCCCAGCATATGCGAACTTATTGAAGAAAACCTTAAAATGTCAGACTCAAATACAAACAAAAATTTTATTATATTGTTACCTGAGTATCCAAGATACTGTCGACATACTATTTCAAATGAACTCCAATTTATAAAAATAATTTTCACTCTAAATTTTTTCCTCATCTATCGCTTAAATTATTTTGCATCGTTAAATGAACATATCAGAAGCATTATTCAACTATCACTTGATCATCCAACATTATTAACTTCTCACTATAATTTTCACAACTACATCATTGTTATCATCATTTACGCTTATCCCAAGTGCTTTCGGATCCACTGAAAATGTATACCATACCAAATATTCCTTGCTTATCCAAAGTCCCTTTATTCTAAATTTATTTAGCGCTTCAACATTGGCTTCTTTGAAGACACTTTCACCAATTAAACCTTCGGCATCCATTTCAATTTGAAGAACCTCCAAAACTAATGCAAAAAAAAAAAAGTTCAATGTTGATCATTAACGACTCCCTATTATAACTGAATATTATTTAGTCACTCCATAACTATTACAGTCTGGCCACCACCAAATTATGCATATAACTTAAATAAAAATTTGGGTGGCATTTCATCTGTGAGCCCACCACAACAATTGTTGCGGTTCTTCGCTAGAAATATTTTAAAACACAACAAAAATTGTGTGAAGAATGAAGATAATTCAGTTGCTCTATACATTTACATTAATTGACTTAAAGAAGAATTGTAACAAGCAAATTCCTAGCATAATAAATTTCACAAACTTCATTCCAATATAACTTTCTCAACTATACGCATTCCTTTGTTTTTAATTAAAAGATTTTATTCATAAACTTTGTTCCTTAAGTTGCTATTCATTTTCTCGATTAAATAAACTTAATCCTCAAGTCATCAAATATATTTTTCTATCGATAGTGCAAATAACATATATATATATATATATTATTTCTTATAGAGAATCAAAATAAAAAACATTTATCTATGGATATCACATTCTTTAAGAGAAATCTCTCTACAAAACAACAACAACAAAAGCAAACTTTTATTCCACTACATAGGGTTGAAAACATGAATCATTTTTCTACATTGTATTGTGTTCTGTTAAGAGTCAAATGTTCATTTAAATCTAATAAAATAATGTCATTTCTAATATTTTTTAACTAAGTTTTTTAGCTTTACATCTACCTTTCTTAACATAGGCCAAATCTAATACATCTGCTTTCCTAATCGGGTCATCGCAAGGCCGACATCTTATGTGACCAAACCATCCAAGGTAACCCTCTTTAATCTTATCTGCCATTGGAGCTACTCCAACCTTTTCACGCCTATTTGGCATTATGTATCTAAGAGTGAAGCCACTCATCCGCCTGAGCATTCTCATTTCCGCAACACTTAATTTTGTGCTTGTCTTTTAATGGCCAACATTCTGCACCATAAAGCATTGCAAGTCTCACCATCATCTTATAGAATTTTCCCTTAAGTTTGAAAGGGTATTTTCTTATCACAAAATAGGCCTGATGTGTTCCTCCACTTCAACCATCCAACATTAACTCTACTAATAATATACCCATCTGTTTCACCGTCACTTTGAACAATAGACCCGAGATATCTAATACATATACTCTTATTATTGAATTGATCGACCAAAGTCACAGTATCCCCACTAGATCTATTACTACTAAAATTATACTTCATATATTCAATTTTACATCTACTCAAACCAAAACATTTAGACTCTAAGGTTGACCTCCATAGTTCAAGTTTATCTTCAACTTCCTTTCTAGTCTTATCAACAAGAATAATATCATTACCAAAAAGCATACAACATGGTACATCCTCTTACAAATGTCTAGTAAGAACATCCATGACGAGAGCAAAAAGATATGGGCTTAAAGTTGATCCTTGATGTAATCCAACTGAAACAGGAAAACACTTGGTCAAACCATCTTGTATTTGAACATAAGTAATAGCTCCTGCATATATATCCTTAACGACTTGAATATAAGCATTATTAACCCTTTATTTTCCAGAACTCTCCAGAGCATTTCTCTTGGAACTTTATCATATGTTTTTTCAAAATAAATAAATATCATAGGAAGATCCTCCTCATTCTCCGTATACTTATCCATTTGAAATAGGAAGATCCTCCTTGATGTAATCCAACTAAAATAGGAAAACACTTGGTCAAACCACCTTGTATTTGAACACAAGTAATAACTCCTACATATATATTCTAAATGACTTAAATATAATCATTATTAACCCCTTTCTTTTCTAGAACTCTCCAGAGCACTTCTCTTGAAACTTTATCATATGTTTTTCCTAAATCAATAAGTATCATAGGAAGATCCTCCTTATTATCTCTATACTTATCCATCAAACCTCTCAATAAATGTATAACTTCTATAGTAGGCCTACCCGACATGAATCCAAATTGATTTTGAGAAAAATTAGTATCACATCGTAACCTATGCTAAATAACTCACTCCCATAAAGTATGACAAATTAACTTAATTCTTCTATAATTCATACACTCTTGTGCATCATCTTTATTCTTAAAATAGAAATAAACACACGCCTTCTCCACTGATCTTGCATCTTTTAATACTTCAAATAATATTGAAAATTTTCGTAAGCAAAACAATTCCTTCATCTTTGGTGGATCGGCGGAGGATGTAGGCCCCATTAGGACAAAATGTCGGGCAAGGAAAGAGGTTAAGAGGGGGATCCAAAGGGGAATAACTCCACCTTTAATTACTTACCATACGAAACCAAAATTGGAAGTAAATTATGAAAGTTTATTTAGGAAAATTTGAGCTGAATTGAATTCAGATTTGGGAGGGAATTAGGAAAGCTTATATAGGGGTAATTAGATTGTTTGATATTCATTATATGATTTGTGAGTTTGTTGTAGTTTTTCTTTGGAGTTGTTCCTAGCGGAGCCTAGTAAATAGTAGATCAACTTGTACCTCAATTTGTTGTGCCTATATCAATAAAATAAGCCAATAATCACTTTCTTTATCGCTAATTTCTAATGTGTTTTCTGTTCGTTATTGTTGTGTAGAGATCGGATTCCTATCAAATTAGTATTAAAGCACGATTCAGGACCTATGATGTCGAAGAAAGTTGATACTTTGAAAGAGAAACTAGAAGGAGAAGTTGCTCAACTCAAATCTAAAATTGAGGAACAAATGTCACCCATGGAAGGAAGGTTTTCTAACCTAGAGGACATGATGAAAAAATATTGGAGCTTCACACCCAATTGGCAACATCGAAAGCAAGAGCACCGGCGGGTGGCCAAGGAAGTGGGGGAAACCCCAATATCGACACAATGGGGGATGATTGAGAGGTAGAAATTTTAGGCGACAGAAAAAATATGCCACCTCTTGAACCAATAACCCGAAGAAAAATGGGTAAGGTATGGCATGAGGAGAAATTAGGAGGAAGAAACGAGGGTTAATTT